ATATAAGGCAGAAACTGCCCACCCTACTTCCTCTTCAGGTTAGCTGAGAGCCTGTCTGTGCTTCACAAGCCAGACGTATGGGTTTGCTTGCTTTGTATCATTAATAAATATGCATGCTTTAATTTTTTAATAAATTCACTTGCTTTAATGTTTTAATAAATTCACTGAACACAACACACATACTACCTAGTCTGTTATATAAATTTATTTCTATGAGAAGACAAGGATCGAGATTAGGGACAGCCCTCTCCCTCTGACTCAGGGGGCTGTCCAGGAATACCTCTCTGATGTCTGTGAGAGGTGCCTATAACATTTTTGTCACAAAAGGATTATTTTTTGAACAGGGAAATTTTGATCATATTTAGAAGCTAAATCAGAGGATTGAGAGAACTCATGATACAAGAAGAACGTGTAAATGGAGAAGGAAAGAGATAGAGCAGGAAGTGAAAATGAGAAAAATAGAATCTCAGTAATAATTGGAGAAGTCAACTCTAAAGTGGAGAAGTCACTCTTATACCTCTAAAATAAAACACCAGGCAGATAATTCCCACATAAAATAAGGAAGAGGTGAAAAATATAAATATATGCATCTGAAAAATTTAATCATCTGTAATCTTTATTTTATCTATGAAGTAGAAAGCAGGATTGGAAGTCAAGTATGTAGGGACTTAATTCATCATTACCATAAACTCACGCCCCACAATGAGAGCCAGGGCCTCAACAATGTCCATCGAACCATCAGGTAACCACCATTTTTCCCTATGCCTTGTTTCATTGTAGTAACTGTTATCCCAAATCTTATGTCCACCATTCTCTTTTTACTTCTATTAAATAGTTTTATTAAATCAACAAGTAGTCATAAAATGTTTATTTTTATTTCCATTTTTAAATCTACAAAAGGAGTATCATGACATAAAATCCTTAGTACTCTCTTTTCACTTAATATTAGATTGCTGAGTTATCCTTTTTGTTATATTTCCTTCTGGTTGTTTTATATTGATTGCTATAGAATGTCTCCTTGTGTGACTATCCACTCCACTGTTGATGAACATACAGGTTGTTTTCAGTCTTTATTCCATTGTGAATAGTGCTGCTGTTACATTTTACATGTGTAGAACCTTTTTTTGGATATGTTTCTTATATAATGGGAAAACTAAAAATATCTTGTATTATATTTCTTTTGTTGTACTTGTGCAATAATTTTCTTGAAAATGTTCTTTATGTAATCAGAAAATGAAAGCTTATTTGTAATTTTCTTAAAGTTGTAAGGAAAAGATGCAACCCCAGCAGCAGTTTCAGCATGTACTGGCAAAAGGAAAGATTAAAGAGAGACTGAAGAATGAGGAAAACCTGGCAAAACTGGGGAGAGAGGAGACGGCCTGAACTAGAGCAGTGATGGGTAGAGACCATTCTTGTCATCACCCCTGAGCCCACAGCAGCTGAGTCCACTGGACACGGAGAGAAGGGACATATAACACATCCATTCACAAGTGTGTGCACCTACACGAGAGGGGGTAGGAAGAAGAAACAAATAACTTGAAAGCATAGAACAGTCCAGTAAATCAATTGTTTTATGCTAATAAAGTTCAGTGAAGGAAAACCTAATATGAACAGAAGCACTATAAAGTTCAATTCCCTCTACCTGGAAATAGTCGAGGCTAGAGGCACAAAGAGTGATGTGGGGAGTGGCGGCATCTACAGAACCCATAGATACACTTTAGCATTTGGACACAGAGCTAGTGGTGGTGAAGGGTTGCTTCTTGGGTCAGTTACTGACACTGTCTATCTAGTTAGGGTTTTGGAAACAGCCTTAGCAAGTCCATATGGAGTAAAACAACCCTGTGGGCCTCAGAGTTCATTTAGTGGGTGAATTTTGCAGGCATTGGAAAGTCAGGAGACTTGCCAAGGGGATTCATTAAAATCTTATTTCCTGGAACAGCATTTTCAGAGAAGGTCATGTCACCTGAGGGTATGAGAGTGTATGCCCCCAAGGACAGGAGCCTAGCTCAATATTGCCCCAGGGACAGTGAGGCTGGTCATCATAGGGCCTCCTGTGGGCAGCTCCTCCTATACCTTTTTATCCAAATTTCTGCTGTGCTCATCTTTGATCATGAACACCACCAGAATGGGAACACTTGAAAATCTGAATACCTCACTCAAGGCTGTGATGGCTTTCTCACAAGGAGAGTAGAGGAGAAAAGCTAGGAGAGATTCCACTCCTTGCTTCCCCGGGAGCCTGCTTCAGGTTCTCAGCTACCTATCTGCATCCATCTCTACCCCCAGGGAGAACTTGCAATGCCAGTCATTGGAGAAGCCATTGACCTCTGATCTCAGACAGACTTTTGCACATCTATACCCACCCTTCCAGAAGAACCACTTTGTCTTTCTTTGTCTTCTTGAACATTTTTATCCCACAAGTAAATCCCAGGGCGGTAGGTATGGTCTGGCAACTGTGCCCTTGCTCCTCTGAGGTAAGGGCTCTGTCTCTGTTTCAGTGAAATTACATGGAATCTGGAAGTCTTGAGACTTCGCTGCTTTGCTTCTCAGACTATCTAGTCCTTCCGGGGGTGTAGCTCACCCACTCCCTTCTATACTGTGGACACCATGTATATGTGGACACACTCACGGTCTGTGGTTTCCACTGACCAGAACTGGGTTCCTATACATCCTGGTAAAAGTCTCATTATTTACCTTTGGACTTGGAGTATCTTAGCCTCCAATAGTCTGAGGTGTGCCCTTTAACAAAGGATCAGCTAGAATCAGTAAAAGTGTGTCTTCCTTTCATGCCTGCTTGACTCTAAGGTCCAAAGCCAGAGAAAAAGAGCCCATTGAAATCATGAAATTGCTAGAATAGAGTGATCAATGATACAGAGAAATAACCTATAAAAACATGCTTACAAATTTTTAGCTTAGTGTTACTAATGGGCTTTGTGTGATCATTTCCAATGAAGTAAAATTCCCCTCTGTTAATCTCAGCCTCTGCTGACTTGTCCTGGTCTGAGACCTCCAATACCAGCAGTTTCCCAGAGAGGAAGCTCTTCCTCTGTAGGCCCAGTGTGTGTTCTCTGGCCTCTATTTTTAGATGGCCCTGAAGGAGAAGAACCAGAGAATGGGAAAGGAGAGAAAGCAGGAGTCTGCACCGAGGGGAGAAAGGCAGATAGTAGGATCCAGAATACTTAAGGATCACCACCTCACCTAAGCCCCCTTTCTGCTTTTTAAAACCCTATCCACACTCCTGGTGCAGAAATTGAGATAAAGGTGCCCATCTAATTATTTTCTTCCCTTTATTACTCAATTCACTTATCTTTATAATTTGACAAAAGCAAAAGTATTTCAAGGCAAATATTTATCAGGAACAGTGCTGGCAATAGTCTTTGAATGTGTCTTTTTGTTGTAGTCAATAGGCAAAGAAAGTATTCCAGTCAATATTTCTTAGTTTACACCTGCAGTTTTGGCTTTGTGATGGCAAAGGAAAGATCTCAGACCCCAGGGAATGAAAGGACAGGTTTACAGAGGATGTTTTTCTGGCTGGCTTCTTGCCTCAACTTCACTGTAGCAAAAGGACAAGCAGAATATCCTTGTATTATGATTCAGTTTCCTGACCTTCACAGAGCTGTTCTCTTTCTCTATTATACCTAATCCTTTCTTTCTTAGGCACCTCCTATTCATCCTCAGCCTGTAGCTTATATGTCACTTCTGCAGGGAATCTTTTTCTGAAACCTCACTTGTATGGACTCATAGTATGCTGTACATTTCGTCACATATTAATCATCACCACTGGTGTTTGTGTAACCATTTTCCACATCTACACAATTTTCCTAGCATCAGTTGTAGTGGCTGATACACTGCAGGTCCTTTGTAAATATCTACGGAATGAATGTAAAGAACTAGATCAGATGAGCCTTCTTATTTCAGGATTTTATCATCCTACCTTTTAAAAAGATCCCAACTCTAAGTTAATCAGAATGATGACATTACAGATGATTGGAAGATTAAGAGCAGATGATACCACGGCAAAGGAAGAATTTGGTCCTAAACTTTTTTCTTCTCTTTCAGAGTGCCTCCTAAGTCCTTCCAACTGTGACAGACCTGTAATCATAAAAAGTAAGCTCGCTGAGCACTGCCCCACAGACCCACACACTCCACGTCCTCTCCCCCTTAATCCCTTCCGCCAGCACTGCCACAGAGTCAGGGTGCAGCAGGACCAGCATCTCGCCTCGTTTTGCGGGATGTGTGAGGTAGAGGAATCTGATTTTCCTGATCAGCGTCTTGCTTTGATTCTCAGGTGACAGGATCGCTTGGGGGCTTCCCTATGAAATCTCTCTTTTAGAGCTCCCCCTTCTGGGATATGCCCTAGACATAAACACTTTGCCACACCTTTGCAACTACCATCTATTACTTTTCCCCCTGAATCAATTACCTGAAAACAGGCAAACACTTTTTTTTTTTTTACTATTTCTGCAGGGTTACTTCCGACAATCTATACCAATCTGACCATTCAATTCAGCCCAGATTCCTTTTGCCTCCAGAAGGGTAACAGTGTGCTCACCATGGATGTGAGGACAATACAAGAACTCACAAGATCATGTTTTCTAAGAGCTGGGAGGTTCCTCTTTAAGGAAGCAGTCAAGGACAATGAGAATGGAAAACGAAGAGAGATGTCACATCTACAGAGGTGTCAAAGAGCTTTATTATAAGAAATCTTTAACCCTGAATTGGAATCCCAAGTATATTATAAGCAGAAAACCAGCTAGATTTTAAAGCAATGCCTACTGTATTTTTTATTATGAAGATAGATATGTTTTTTTCTGTCTAAAAAGATGCTTGCCTGGACTCATAATTTTGGATATCTTATTTAAAGGGATTGCTAAATGACTAGCAATCAGAAACATGCTTTATCATAATTTAATAAAAATATTTGAAAAGTCAGAAGTCATCAGGCAAACATAAGTGCGAAGAGAAAGAGATACCACCTCATGTCCTGTAGGCCACTCCAGAGTGACAGGAGACAATACAAAACGAGGGTGAACTCCCTAAGAAAGGCTTTCACTGAGAATCCATTTGGTTCCAGGTAACTGAAGAAATAGCACAGAATGGAGCACTGGAACTCCACCCTGGGAAGTGGGTTCATATTGATGGGGATTCTGAAGGACAGTGGCTCTCCTGGGCTACTCAGTGCCACAGTCGCAGTTCTGTACACGTTGGCTCTGACCAGCAATGGCCTGCTGCTCCTGGTCATCACAATGGATGCCCAGCTCCATGTGCCCATGTACCTCCTGCTCGGGCAGCTCTCACTCATGGACCTCCTCTTCACGTCTGTGGTCACACCCAAGGCTCTCGTGGATTTTCTTAGCAGCGAAAACACCATCTCCTTCGGGGGCTGTGCCCTTCAGATGTTTCTGGCACTGACGCTGGGTGGTGCAGAGGACCTCCTCCTGGCCTTCATGGCCTATGACAGGTATGTGGCCATCTGTCATCCCCTGAACTACATGGTTCTCATGAGTACGAGGGTCTGCTGGCTCATGGTGGCCACGTCCTGGATCCTGGCATCCCTGAGTGCTCTAGGACATACACTGTATACCATGCACTTCCCCTTCTGCATGTCCCGGAAAATAAGGCACCTGCTTTGTGAGATTCCACCTCTGCTAAAGTTGGCCTGTGCAGATACCTCCAGATATGAGCTCATGGTGTATGTGACAGGTGTGACTTTCCTCTTGCTCCCTCTTTGTGTTATTGTTGCCTCCTACACACTAATCTTATTCACTGTGCTCCACATGCCCTCAAATCAGGGGAGGCAGAAAGCCCTAGTCACCTGTTCTTCCCACCTGACTGTGGTCGGGATGTTCTATGGAGCTGCCACGTTCATGTACGTCCTGCCCAGTTCCCTCCACAGCCCCAAGCAGGACAACATCATCTCTGTTTTCTACACAATTGTCACTCCAGCCCTGAACCCCCTCATCTATAGCCTGAGGAATAAGGAGGTCATGGGGGCCTTGAGGAGGGTCCTGGGAAAATACATGCTGCGGATACACCCCACCTTCTAGGGAGAGATCATGGCTTCTAAATCAAAATGTTATACACCGCCAGTCTTTATGTGATATCCTGTGTGAGATGATGCACTTTAAAATTCTTTCATTTCCATTCTTCTGTGTAGCAGCTGAGCATAGCGACCTTAAGCTGCACTGACATGGAGTATGTCACCCGGACCTGGGAAGCCCATGTTGTAAAACGAATAGAAGAAAAGCATGGAATGGCTGTCCTAGACTTCCTCTGTCATAGGACTTGTTTCTGACATGATTACCATGTTTATGGTAGGAAAGTGTTTTAAATTCAATACCATGTAGTAGTGACGGACAGTGATAGTTTTAGGCTGACCAAACTGTATAGCCTGTGAACATCAGAGGTGAACTGCTTTCCTTTGAATTAGATACTAGGACAATTAGCAGGAAGATGTATCTCAGAAGATATATTGGGCTTTGATTATTAGGCAAATGGTTGTTTTAGCAATTAGTTAGAAAAAACAAGAGATTTGTACTCTGGATTTAAGTAGAAGTTTATATCAAATACATAAGTAAAGGTAATGTCTATGTTGAAATCGTGAAAAAGGCTCACTGGGACATTTTTATACTACCTAAACCTAAAAATTAAAATAGAGAAATGAATAAAAGAGAATGTGAAAGAACTGGATTTGAAGTAAGGATTAAAGATACAGTAACAGTGGAAGACATCTGTTGTGTATGTTGCTTGAATTTTTTTTAAAAATTATGATCTTACACATACACATGTGTGTTTTTAAACATCAAAACAATCGCAAGTCGTTCGAATTCTTGAGGTGAGTATGTGTGTAGGCCTGTGTCCTAGAAAAGGAGGAGCCAAATATATAATTCAGTCTCTAGTTAGCTTGAATGTGGCTTGTTTTATCATGAGGTATTGGTGTGGGAAAATTTAGAACAAAAGCTTGGGACTTAAATCTGTTAAGGAACTCCAAAGTATCCTGGCTCACATACGTGGAATTACTGTTAGGATAGTGCTTTGTGAAATCGCAAATACTTTTTTTTCTTTATAGAAATCATTTTAACTGCTTCATCTATACAACTAAACCAAGTTCATTATAAAAACCAAGAAAATTCAGAAATTCAGACAGAGGCAAGAAACACCTATAAAGTTTTCCTTTTTTCTTAAATTTTGGTTATCCATATATGTATTTTACTGTATTTTTCTGTACATGTTGATTAAAGTCTTTCTTTTTTATCATTTAAAATGTGGCGAACCTTCTTCCTCGTTAAAAGGGAACATTATAGTTTTGGGGAATAGGTGGTGGTGGGGCCAGATTGCAGAGTGTGAATCTCTGCTCCCCCTTTTTCATCTGTGTGTCTTTGGACACTGAACGGAGCGTTGTGCCTCAGCTTGCTCATTCTAAAAGTGGTGATACTAATAGGACTCTCGATGCAGTCATGATGTTTCTAGGATGACTAAGATAAAAATGTCAAGTGCACAGATGAAAGCCTGACAAATAGTGCTTGAAAGATGCTGGCTATTATATGAATAAATAGTAAAGAGTTTAAAAACTTAATTTTAGCCCAGCCAGTGTGGCTCAGTGGTTGAGCATTGACCCATGCACCAAGAGAGGTTGCCAGTTTGATTCCCGGTCATGGCACATGACCAGGTTGTGGGCCAGGTCCCCAGTGAGGGGCATGCAGGAGGTGGGCAATTGATGTTTCTATCTCTCTCTCCCTCTCCCTTCATTTCTCTCTAAAATCAATAAAGGAAAAATAAATAAATAAATAAAATGGAGGTATAATTGACAGATAACATTTATATTAATTTCATGTATACAACATAATAATTCTATATTTGTAAATATTACAAAATGATCACTCCAGTAAGTCTAATCAGCATCTATCATCATACATAGTTACAAATTATTTTCTTGTGAGGAGAACCTTTAAGAGTTACTTTCTTAACAACTTTCATATATGTGACACAGTATTATTAACTATAGTCAACTTGCTGTACATTTTATCCGCGTGACTTAACTATTTTATAACTGGAAGGAAAAAACAATTTTAAATAATTACATATTTCATCATATGAGATCTCTGTAATATATTTAGGCATTTATTATACTTAGTCCCCCCACCCCAAGTTTTTTATGTGAGTATCTGATTTTATCTTAGCTCAAATTTCTAGAACTGAAATTGCTGAGATCCAGCCAAAGAAACTATTTAAAATTCTTGTTACAAAGAGCCAAATTGCTTATCACAAAGTAAAAACATTTTGATTTATGTGGGAGTATCTGGCCTCTCTTTGCTAATGACACATGCCAATGGAATCAGGCTCCCTCTTCACTCCACCCCCTACCCGCACTACAGTTGTGTTTGTCAAAATCAGCAAAACTCTTTCTATTGCAAATTCAGTATCACTTCTCTGTCTTCATCCTGCTCTATCAGCCACACTTGACACAATTGACTCCTCTCTTCTTGAATCACCTTCTTTTTTTTAGCCTCACCTGAGGACATTTTTCCATTTTTTGTTCAGATAGAGTGGGAGGGAGAGAGAGAGAGAAAGAAACATCGACGTGAAAGGGACACATCGAGTGGCTGCCACCCGCACGACCAACCAGGGCCGGGGACAAACTGCAACCAAGGTACTCGCCCCTAGCGGGAACCGAACCAGATCTCTCTGGACCGCAGGCTGATGCTCTAACCGCTGAGCCAAACTGGCCAGGGCTTGAATCACCTTCTTTTTATGAGTTCCAGGGCACCACAAACACTAGATTTTCCAATTTCCCCACTAGACTAGGGCTTCACTTAGCCCACTGCCCCTCTTCAACATGACATCTAACTGTCAGAGTGCCTCGCGGCTTCCTTGCAAGCCTCCTTCCTTCCGAGCGCACATTCTGGCCTTGGTAAGGCCATTATTTAATGGGTTTAAATTCCATCTGCATTCACTCCCAATGCCATGACCTCTTCTGAAGCCCAAACTCATTTAGCTGCTGATGTAAACTTTTGCTTGAATGTCTTAAGCATTTCTCATTTAATCCAAAACTGAAAGCTTGATCCACAGCCCTAAATGTGCTCTTTTTACAGTTTTATTATAAAAAGACAGCCTTATCATTTTCACACTTGATCAAGCTAAAAATCAATAGATAATCCTTATTTACTCTTTTTGCATTACTACTTCCAAACAAGAAGTTCCGATAAACTCTTCCTCCACAGCATAGTACAAATCTTTTTACTTCTCTCTATCTTACTTCCTGCTACTGAGCTAATTCTACCTACCAAATTGAACTTTTGGTGCAAACTGCTATCTAGGATTGAAATAAACACAAGAGTACAGCCATGATTTTGGAACCAGATTGCCTGGATTTTATTCCTAGTTCTAACACTTGCTAACTGAAATGTCGATTGGCCACCTTAGTTCTCTCTTACTCAAATTTTCATCTCTAAATGTTAAAAGGTGTACCTAACTTAGAGTTGTTGTGAAGATTAAATGAGTTTATAATGTAAAGTGCTTAGAAAATTACCTGGAATGTAGTAAGCTCTCAATAAGGTTTTCTTTTATCACAATCAAGAGGTTTTTTTGTTTGTTTTTAATTGATTTTAGAGAAAGATTAAGAGAAACATTAATGTGAGAGAGAAACATCGATGGGTTGCCTCCTGTATGCACCCTGGCTGTGGATTTTACCTATAACCTAGGAATGTGCCCTGACCGGGAATCAAACCCACAACCTTCCAGTGCACGGAACAATGCTCCAACCAACTGAGCCACACTGGCCAGGGCATAATCCCCAGTTTTTCTAGAACTTTTTTTTTTTATTATTTATACTTGATCTTCATGAGTTTTATTGAAAAGCAGAATAAAAATATATGAAAAACAAAGAAAAATTGACTTCCGGTCAAGATGGCGGCGTAGGTAAATGCGGTATCGTGTCCTCCCACAACCACATCAAAGTTACAACTAAACTACAGAACAACCATCATTCAAAACCACCTGAAATCAAGCCGAATGGAAGTCGTACAACTACGGAATTAAAAAAAAAAAAAAAAGCACGGGTGGCAGCCACTCGATGTGTCCCTTCACATCGATGTTTCTCTCTCTCTCTCTTCCTCTCTCTCCCTCCCGCTCTATCTGAACAAAAAATGGAAAAATGTCCTCGGGTGAGGGAAAAAAAAAAAAAGCAGCTACATCCAGACTGGTAGGAGTGGCAGCGGCGCGAGGGGTGGCGGCGGAGCAGCGGCGAGACAGGCTGGTCCCACACCCACGTGTGGCGGATAAAAATCAGGAGGCTCCCCTGGCTGGGAAGGTCCTTCCTGAGGACTGAGGGGTCCCCGTCCCACACCAGGTGCCCCGTTCAGGGTTCCAGTGCCAGGAAGAGAAGTCCCTATAACTTCTGGCTGGAAAAACCAGCGGAAACTGAGGCTCAGGGAAGCTGAAGCGGCTGGAGCCCCAGGCAGCTCCCTAAAGGGCCCGCGCACGGACTTATCGGACTCTCTCCCTCTAAGCTCGGAGGGGAGGCAGCTCGAGGGGCGCCAGAGACACACAGGGAAGAACTGAGCTGTTTGGCACTGGAGTGAGGGCTGGAGAGGGGGCTTCCTCGGGGACAAACGTGCTGTAAGAGGCCTTTGTTCCTTTGGTGAGCCCTTCCCGGGGGCGGCAGACAGAAGCCATATCTGGGACTCCAGCAACCTGGCTCACACTGGTAGCCCCGCCCTGCTGACTCCCTGAGGCCCCGCCCTGCCCCACACAACTTTCAAGCCCCCCAAGCTGTTGCCACTTGCTTAATCATAGGATTGGCCGGTCTTGGATCCTGCTTCAGGTTTTTCCTAAATTCTTTCAAACGAGCAGCATCTGGTCTCAGCGAGCCCCATACCTCTCATTAAGTAATACACAGAAACAAACACAGGGAGGCAGCCAAAATGAGGATACAAAGAAACAGGTCCCAAATGAAAGAACAGAACAAAACCCCAAGAAAAGAACTAAGCGAAAGGGAGATAAGCAACCTAACAGATACTGAGTTCAAAATACTGCTTATAAGGATGCTCAATGAACTT